ACACACACACACACACACACACACAGATACACACATATTTAGGGTGGCCCAGTGGTCCAGTGGGTAGCGCGTCGATCTCACGTGGATGGTTGTTCGTCTCTGTGTGCCCTGCGATTGTCTGGCAACCAGTTTAGGGTGTCCCCCGCCTACTGCCCGAAGACAGCTGGGATAGGCTCCAGCACGCCCTGCGACCCTAGTGAGGATAAAGTGGTTCAGAAAGTGGATGGATGGATGGATGGATAGATGGATGGATGGATGGACGGATGGATGGATGGAGGTGTGTGTACACACACACACACACACACACACACACACACACACACACACACACACACATATATAAACGCCATAACCAGGTGGCTGGCATAGTCTACCGAAACATCTGTGCGGAGTATGGACTGGAAACCCCAAGGTCAAAATGGGAAACACCTCCAAAGGTGGTGGAAACTGACTGAGCGAAGAGCCTGTGGGACTTCCAGATACAGACTGACAAGAAGGTAATGGCGAACCAACCGGATATCGTGATCATAGATAAAGGGCAGAGGAAAGCCGTTGTCGTGGATGTAGCGATCCCAAGTGATGGAAACATCAGAAAATAGGAACACGAGAAACTCGAGAAATACCAAGGCCTCAGAGAGGAGCTGGAGAGAGCCTGGAAAGTAAAGGTCGTGCCTGTGGTGATCGGAGCACTCGGGGCAGTGACCCCCAAACTGGATGAGTGGTTGCAAAAGATCCCGGGAACAACATCGGACATCTCAGTCCAGAAAAGCGCGGTGCTGGGAACAGCAAGGATATTGCACAGAACCCTCAAGGTTCCTGGCCTCTGGTAGAGGACCCGAGCTGAAACACGAGGATTATATATATATATATATATATATATATATATATATATATATATATATATATATATATATATATATATATATATATATATATATATATATATATATATATATATATATATATTTCTTTTTTAATCCGCATACTCGATTATTCAATACAATTTTATGTTCAACACAATACAAATTATTTTTGCAAGAATGTACAATCACAAATACAAACAAAAATGTGACATTCTGCAGTGTTTGAGTTTAATATTGTGATGTCGTCGCTTTGTGAGGCTCAAGGGCAAAGGATGATCAGCATTCTTGCCTCAATAAATTAAAATGATTTTCACATGCTGAAGATAAACCTGCCTAAAATAGGGCCATTAATCCCCTCCACTTCAACTCCTCACTGGACTTCAGCTTTAATGCCATAATGAACATGCTTAAAGATAGCAAACATGTTATGTAATCTGCTTTTAAAATACATCCACAGTCTTGCGCTCCTAAATGATGTCACTTATCTCCTGTGGATGACATGCATGACAGAGGACCAGACACGAAATAGAAATACACTGAGGAGTTTGCAATTAAAAGCAGCTCGTACTTAATATTCCAACAACCAGTCTGAAACGAGAACACTCAAATGCAGTCTCAAAGTTTTGAATGACAAAGCCTATAAACTGAGCGTTGAGTCAATCAAATTAAATTCAGCTTGCCACCTCGGTAGAAAGCCAGCAAACTGGGCATCTAAAAAGCCATAGACTGGCAAGATTTCGAAGAAGGCCTTCAAAGATGGTGATTTAATGGAGCTCACGCATATGCAGAAGGAAGTAAGAATCCAGCCAAAGGAGGCAAAGGAGCAGTACAAAATGAACTTGGAGCTGAAACTGGAGAACAACAGCATGGAAGAGATATGAGATGAGAAGAACAACACCGGCCAGGACCATACAATTCATTCAGAAATACAGTACTCCCATTGTAATTCTTACACTTGTATTTGCATTGCGATAATACCATTTCCATGAAGGTATTCCATTTGTCATATGTAGTTTAGTCCATTTTGCCCAGCCCTAAAATCAGTCTTATTTTTAACCCCAAATATTTTTGAGTTTAAGCCATTTAAATCGGTTCAGCCATCGTTGTGCACTGCTATGATGTGAGACAGTTAATTAAACACATATCTCGAGGCACCACTATTTGTCTTCACTCAATACGCCTTCTTGTCTTGGGACCCAAGAAAGGCTTATCAAAATAAAACTAGCAACAGCACTAAACATGTTTTTAAAGAAGGAACACTTGGACTTTACTCTCTTTACTGCTTTGTGAGCGTGAGTCTGCTAACTTCACAATTCTTGTGCTTCTTTTAAGACTCCTTGTAACAAATTATCATTCTTTCAGATAAAATGTCCCCAGCCCCAGAAAAAGCTATTGGAATAATACTTTCAGAGATGATGATACTGCCCGCAATTTGTGTGACACTTAAGGCAAATAGTTCCAGAATACTCCTAGAATTTAGGTTGAACTGTGTTCTACTCAATCATGCTTTTACTCGAGTATACTAAAGAGAAACACTCAGGCCTTTGATTTTGTTCGAAATGTGTCAAACTTGTTATCGAATATCGAACATTTTGATAGCAGCAGAAGGTCTGACTGATTGGCTCCAGCAATCCAGGGCTGCCCAGCTAACAATGTCTGTCACAGAGCTGTGTAGTACACAGGCGATAATGATGTTGTGAATGCAGAGATCAAAGTCTCCACGCGCGCGCGATTAAGTTTCCTAATGAACGCATATACAAGGACATTCTTATCACCGAGGCCCACACCGGCCTGTGCGTATCTGTCACTTTCAGACGACCAACCTGTGCCCGCTATGTTACACGCTGCCAAATGAAAACCGCACAGCAATTCCCTCGGTGGCCAGCCTGCTCGTTTGGCTCTTGGAATAAATCATTCACATCCTCTCAGAGTTACGATATCCTATTTGAAAAATGAAGTTTTACGTGGCATCATTTTTTTAAGAAAAAGTTGGTAAGTACATGAAGCAAAGGATGCCTGGCAATTTAGTATGGCTCAGTCAGCTGCGATGTGTCCTTTTTAACTTTTTCTTGAATTCTGCAATGCAATGTTTCCTCTTTTGAAGAGAAGAAATCTTTGGCAATGCAAAAGGAGAGAACACGGGCTTAAGCCACAAAACATACTGAAAATTGCAATACAGAAACCTTCAGCTTGTTTATCTTAATGTGAGATAACAGAATGGCTTGACCCCTCGCTGCAGCGTCTCCACTGAGTTTGTTAGACCGAAATGTTCTGAACCAGCATGATTAACATCAGCTTCAGTCATTACACTAACGGACAGTATTTTAATTAATGACATCCTCAGTTCTATCACATGTTATTTATGCAGATAATTTTGACTCCTCTGTGCCCTGCAATTACGCCCCATGAAGGCGTCTCCGCAGCATAACCCCACAACCTTCTATTTCACTATGAAATTAGCATTTCCGTTGATAAGCGGCAACAGCACCACTATGTTATGCTGCAGTTACTGAGAAAACATTTTCAACTGAACTTGCGTGCTTGCACTGCAGGTACACCTGCACAATTTAATGAGCTCCAGTATAAGAAGTGTGTCAAAAATTGGTGTCATAAAGATGATAAGCTCAGGTTTGATCAACACAATCAAAAAAATATTTGATCAGGGCAGTTAAACTGAAAATCAGAGATGCAATGAAAAATGATTAGACGTGTAAAAAAATGTAGGCCAATGTGTTTTGTGTCACCATGTGAAGATTCTATAAATGTGATTTCCCAATATGTTTACATAAAAACTACATCAAACTCTTGCCTGTCTTCAGAATGTCCACACAGCCAATCAGACACTTCTATTGTGTTTTACTTAATTTTGTCAGACAGCTTCATTGTTCCCCCGTATTCATTTTTGATGAAGGGTAGAATAAAATTAACCTTTCTTAGCAGGCAGCATTTGAGCTGAATTAAGATCCGCTTATGTCGGGAAGGGGAAAAAAACTGCTGAGGAAAAAGAAAACCATTCAGCCTGTGTCTAATAATTTGTGATGCACTACACACCTGAATAGAATACACGCCTGTGTCAGACAATTGGAAAAAATATACACTTTAGAGTACAAATCACAACACAAAAAAGGTTATTCCTTACCTGAGAGTGAACATCTCCACATCAGAATAGGCTGACACTGTGACATAGGCTGAGACAGTTTCTCTCTGGCTGACGGGTGTGGCGGGCACCAAAACCATAAAGTTATGATCCAGTCTGTGTTCAGCCAATTGGAGTGGAATGGAATTCTGGTAGAGCCTCACACCGCCGATCCTTCTTAAAGGCGTGGAAGTATAAGAACCAAAGTGCCCTTCCTGGCTTGAGCGGAGGAAATTTTCCTTCTTGACCTCCTCTGAATGGCACTCTCCTCTCTCTGTGGATTGCAGGATGTAGTAGAGCTCCACTGGGGTTCCCTCAGATGCTTCCAGTTTCTTTTGGCGTCCTGGCACGACACTTGGGGGGCTGAACCAGCTGGCCAAGGGTTCCAGTTCTGCCACGCAAAGCCCCAGCTCCCCCTTTAGCTGGCAGGTGCCGTGTACCTCTTGGGTCTCATGAAACGCAAACATGTGGACACAGGGAAGCTTGTTAATGGCACTGTAGTCATCCCAGTCCCTGCCTGCAATGTAAAATAGAACCTGAACTTTGGGCTTGGCCAGGTGGATCTTGGTATTCATGATAAAAGTCTGAACCTTCCAATTAACCGTAAAAAGTGAAGAGGCGGGAAAGGAGCCTGGATTCTGTAGAAGTTCTATGGGGACCGGTTGCTCCACAGAAAGCGGCCCATAGCTGGAGTTGACTGAGGGCAAACTCCTGGCCTGGTAGATGAAGAAAGACTCGGTACGTGACATCAGGCTAGAGTTCCTCATGAAGTCTTGGTTGTTTTCCTTTAGAAAGAATGCCAAGTCTGTGTTGAGCACCTGGTAGGTGACCGGTAGATATGTGGGGATCGAAGTATATCTCTGCAATCCCTCTACGACTCGGCTGTCGGCAACTGCGGGAGAGAGGGGAGTAGTTGAGTCACATTTTTAGGCTGACATGAGTCTCCAGGTAAAACTTTAATACCGTACGCTTAAAAAACAACAACAAGAAAATACTTCCAATGAACTTAAAAGTTGAATTCAAGTGAAATATAAAATTGTGCCAGAAGCTCCTGGTTGAAAAACTGCAGAACGTACAACAGAAAAGGCAAAATTGACTTTTTTCTCAAAAAAAAAAAAAACTCCAATTTGCTCTGTGATTACACATTTACACCACAGCCTCATCATCTACCACATTATTTATTTCCACTGATCACCCTCTGTAATTGTATGTTGTGACAAAATGCAGCTGTTGATCCTGAACCCAAATGTAGTGATGTTCCAACTTCAAGAATCACCTCATTGCTTCAGATCCAGGCTGCCTTTGAGGGGAAAATGATCTTGGAGCAACAGAGTAACAAACAAGCAGCAGGTTAGAGTTGTTTGTTGACAAGAAGAATTGTTGTAGGCGTTGAGTTACATGGCTAACAAATGTGCAGCAAGCGTAAACGCAGACAGGAACAAAGGCTTGTCTCAGCGTCCCAGGGTAACATCACTACGCTTATGTCTGAGCTTTCAAGTCAAAGCAAAGCAAAGGAAAAGGCTCCTGGTATCAAGCCTTCACTATTTTGCTGTATTTTACTGTCCTCGGAGCAGATGTAAACACCTACTGTAAGTACAAAAACAAACTGGAATGGAATTCAGCATATAGACATGATTTGCCTACCAAGGGTCTATTGTGTAACATAAATTTCATGGACATTGTGAAGCAACCACAAATGGTGGTGAGTCTAATTTTTAGATTTTAAAAAAAAAAAAAAAACACGTTTTTTTTTTTTTAGAATGAGATAAAAAAAATCATTATCAAAACAGTAATGAAATTCTTCGAGGGGTGGACCATTTTTTAAGCTCTGCAGGGCCGCTGTGATAATGCTCTGATAATAATGACACCAGCAAGGAGAAAAATCATCCAGACAAGATGAATCACCCTCCAACCTACTTCAAATTACAGCACAGTGGTAAATAGGGCCGCTTTTCAAGAAATGGGTGTGGAGCTTATTCAACGATGTAATACTGTGGTCAAACTGCGGAGCCTACCTATTTTGAAGTCCAATGTATTCTGTATATGCATTATAAGGAAAAGCAACAAGCTGTGTCTTGTGTGAAAGCACAATTCATTCAATTTTGTCCAGAGGAGATGAGGAAATAAAATTCCAAAAATCTATATTAATTAAATTTAAGTTTGAAGCTGTACTATAATTGGTACCATTTAAATTAATTTAAAAAAAACAACAACACACTAAATCTACTCAAAGTCATTTGTAATGCATGTTTCATTTGTACAAATATGCTTTATAAAGCGTTTTGTTACAGCTGCTGCCGTTGTATAAATAAAAATGAAATGGAGAGTTGTAGGTGTAAATCCTTTTTTGACATGCAGCCATTTCAGTGAATAGCATAGCATATAGCACATGTCACAGAGCAATAGGAAGCCATTTTACCTCACATATAAGCAAACCTCGTTCAGGAAAAGACCTGAAAAATGTCAGTGTGACAACTGAAGCGACGAGAAAAGAATATTCCTTGAAAATATCGAAACCCAAATAGAGTAAACGAAGTCAGAAAGATGAATACTGGTAGATTAAGAAAAGACAAAGATGAATATATTAGTTTGGCATTATATTGGTTTGGAGTGTGAATTGCCTGGCCTGTATAAAAACCTGTAAGCCTGGAGTCACACTTGTCAACATTGGGCATTTTCATTCACAAACAAGGCAAATTTTAAAACAGACCACTTTGCAAACAGGACATCGATTTGCATTATTGTCTGGCAACAAGGCATCACTGTTCAATCATTTGTCCAACAGGTATTACAGAGGATGAACATTAAACATTTGAATATTAAAAATCAAATATGAGAGAACAACAATATGATGACTGTTGATTTGTTCCGTATCAAAAATTTTGAATGCACCAAATGAAAGGTGCAATATTAATGGCATTAGTTGGGGAAACGGTTCTATTAATTATACATATCAGAAGACACCACATTTGAGATTCATATTTCTTAAACAAATCATGTTTTGAATAATACTGATATAGCAGAATAGAAATAAAAAGAGAAAAATACCATATTCCGCAAACAAATTGTAATCCACAGCATGCATAATTAAATTAACCTATCCTATGGAATTTAATTAAAAATAATAGCTCGCACAATGCTGACCCAGAAAAAAAAATCAAATGTTAGTATTTGCTGTTCTCATTCTCTTTATGTGAATATCTTTGTACTTCGAAAAGATGATTTGCTGACCACGTTGAAAATGTTTGCTCCCCTAAATTTTGGGTGCACCCTCATTCATCCTGAGGGACTCTATTCACTGTCTAAGGGAGGAAAAAAAATTAGAACTAGTTGTATGAGATAATGCTGATGACAACCGAGTAGCCTAAGCCTCGGCTATTTTCAATGGAAAATTCAGTAAGCCTGCAAAGACAGTTACAAGTTGGTCAGAGGGAGAGGAGGCAGGTCTCAGATGAGCGGTAGCTACCAAGCATCATACAGGCAGAGACTTACTTAGGCCAGCTCTGGGGGACTGCGGGAGCTTATGTAGTCGATGAAATGGGACTGATGGAGCAAAAAGAAAAGTAAATGAACATCCAACTCTTTGAGGGACGCCAGGAAAAGAAGGGAGGGCCATGTTCCTCCTTCCCATTTCTAAAATAATATAGGTGGACACAGTGGAATAGCTGTCTGGGTGACTGGATGGTCAGTTTCTGCTTCATCAAACATGTCAAGACTCACCAGAGGAAAGGCTCAGAAGCTGAACAGAAATCAGCAGGAAGCAAATGTGATAGCTTTAAAGGTGGAAGGAGAAAAATGTGTTTATACCATTACTGGATTGTATTCAGTTTCCAATGACCATCAAACATTTTTTAAAAAAACCCAGATTGTCTGATTGCAGTTTACTGAACAATTACACTACGTGTGTTTTGACAACCAAAGAAGACAGAAATGGAGGATGAGAAAAAAATTGTCTCGTCCCATTGAATCACATTTTCAATGAATAAGCGCTATTGGATTTGTGACTTGTCTATGTGTGCCCTGCGATTGTCTGGCAACCGGTTCAGGGTGTCCCCCGCCTACTGCCCAAAGACAGCTGGCATAGGCTCCAGCATACCCCATCGACCCTTGTGAGGATAAGCGGATCCGAAAATGGATGAATGGATGAATGGATGAATGGATGGATTTGTGACTATGAGTCAAGAATAATAAATACAATATTTCCTTCAGGTATCATTTGGAGATGATTTATGCTTTTGAGTAGCCGAAAATTTCAAGAAAAGAGGAGTGTGGAAAAAAAATCAATACATGACACAGTATGGCATTACTCCTTGCCGCCCTCCATAGAAAAAGAATCATTCAGGCAGACAGAAGTCTGCGGAGTCTGCCTGGCTGATAAGTACAAGGTATCAAGGGGGAAGGTAACACCATAATGAGAAGTTTTGAACGGAGAATGTGCTTCCTAATGTTTGACATGAGCAGAATTAAATGTGCACTTATTGCTCCTTCTTAACGTTTATCTTAAATGAGGTTTTGTGTGTGTGTGTGTGTGTGTGTGTGTGTGTGTGTGTGTGTGTGTGTGTGTGTGTGTGTGTGTGTATATATAATGTTGGCAGGCTGCAAAGGGAACTGGAGGGGGTGTTTGTTGCTTTGCCTCTCACGGATGGCCACATTTAAGATGCTAAGAGCTAATAAAGAGTAATGGGCTTTTGCCTTCTCTTGGGGGAAGGAAGAGCTATTTTGAGTTCATGAGAGAAAGCATCATCTCGGGGATTAAAGAATATCGACCGATGAAGGATAAATACTGCAACACTGAGCCACTGGCCTATTTGGGGGAAACTGGATGAAAAAAGAGGAACGGAGAAATCACATCACTGTTAGTGGCTGCTCTGGTCAGTGGGGGTGTCATTAAGGGTTTTCTGAGAAGGGCCTCCAGGTGCTGTGACATGTCGGGAACAGTGTTATCACAACAGTGGACGGCAGAGTCGGAGGCAAAAGCCCAGAGCCTCCTGAAAACAAAACATCCTTTGAGCCATTCCGTGTACATGGCCGTGGGCCAAAGGGGCTGAAAGTATTTGGCTTCCATGGTTGAGACAAGCAAATATCTGTGTACCAATCAGTATTCCTGAGGCTACACCACACACTAAAACATAAACTCTGCCCCGGAATTAATCTCTAGCTCCCCGCACACGAGCTTTGATTGGAGAATGATATTGTAAATCAGGATGTATCAACAGATATACAAGAATCATGACGGTAGCTTGACATCATGTGGGAAATGGTGTTGAAACTGCTCTAAATCAAGACATCTGGCTTTGAAACCCCCAAACACACTACTTGTTACAGACTATTTATTAAATTGAAAAACTTCATACAGTTAGCATAGAGGGATGACTTGTTCATAATGAGGTATAGTGAAACAGGGCAAGTCAGAGTTGTACAGATCCTTCCAAAGTCAACACCTTCAATAAACATTGGCCAATGTGTAAGTCATGTATAGGGTGTCTTTATTGAGGACGAATGTTCGCAACTGCAGCCGCTTTGAGATCAGGCTCGACTAATTGGCTCGCTCCACAAATTAGGTTGTTTTCATTGATATGGATTTTGTTGTTTTGTTTCTTTGTCTGCAACTTTATGTGAAGTACAGCCCATCAAATGCACAGAAGCTTTCACGTGTAGACGAAAAATCTATTTCCCGGTTTAAGCCAGCAAGACATCGCCGGGTGCTGGCCGGCCACCAGCTAAACAAAAATACAATATAGACACTTCATACATTTTTGTGTTTTCGTACATCAACATTGAACCATAGTTACAATTTCATATGGGTATGGACCATGAATGAAATAGTGCCATCGTGATTTCACAAGCGTCGTGCAAAGTTTCCCGCCAGACCTCGTTCATTCTGAGTGGAAA